ACATTTCATTGAAAATAAATTTAAAAAAAGAAAAATAATATATTAAAGTTAAAAAAATGTGTTTAAAAAAAAATTTTAAAAATCATAAAAAACTTTAAAACAAAGTTTAATTTAAAAAAGATATGTATACAAAAACAATAAAAAACAAGTAAAAATTAAAAAACAAACATTTATTTAAAGAAAAGACATAACATTTTATTAAAAAAAAGAAAAATAATAAATATTAAAGTTAAAAAAGATTTAATTTAAATTGAATTTATTCAAAAATCATTCAAAAAAGTTTTAATAAAAAATATTTATTTAAAGAATATTTTAATAAATCATATAAAAAATAATATGAATATATAAATGTAATGGGATATAAATTAATATGAATACCAATACAATTAAAATAAAATATTTATTTAAAAAAAAAAAACATTTTATTAAAAAAAAAAGAAAAAATTATAATTATTAAAGTTTAACAAAATTTAATTAAGTAAAAATTCAAAAAATCATAAATAAAAATGAAAAAACAAGATTTATTCAAAAATAAATAAATTGAAATAAGAAATTTTTATTAAAAATAATTGATTAAAAAAAATATGAATACAAATACAATAAAAAAGAAAAATATAACAAAAAAAAAATTAAATTAAAACAAGAAAAAAAAAGTAAGGAAGGGCTAAGTTTGGGTGTAAACGAACATTTTGTACTCTTGCAACAAAAGCTAAATTTCATATATTGAGTTGATGTGATGTGTGTGATGATATTAGGGATATATGAGACCAAGGTCTAGACCAACTCCATACATGTTCAAATAACGGAATATATAATATTATTTATAGTATTATATAATTCCACATATTTTCGGCATAAAATTAGAGTATATCTAATATTATACTTATAGTTAATTTTGTTATAATATCTTACATATTGACGCACATATACAGTATAAGGTCAACCGGAAGTTTAAAAAACTTTCATTAGATATATGGGAGATAAGTGTACTATTGACTCGATTTGATCTATTTTTTGGCATTACTACATATTAGTAAAAACAGATGCTACCAGAGTTTCAATAAGGTACCTCGCATACTATTAACAATACATGTACATATATATAAGTAAATTCAACCAGATGTTCAAAAATCCTGATATTATTTATATGGAAGCTAGGGCCATTTTAGTCGAGACATTTTTGAGAAAAACACGCTCACTGGGGTTATGACAATTTATAGGTTTTCGATTAATGCCATTATGTGTGCGTGGCAGTGCTTCGATTACGCCCATCTACGAACTCGTCACTCTCTTTATATCTAAAATATGTATGAGCAGTAGAATACGCAAGATAACTGGCACAATTAAATGCCAAATAAACGAAATAAACCATTTTCTGCTGTTATTTATGTTATTTATTAATTATTTTAAAAAATTATTACTTTAGGCATTTGACGTTAGGAATAATTTGAAGATTAGGTTATGGAAATTTGAAAGTTAGGTTATGGAGTTTTCGACCCTGATTCAAAATGGCAACTCTTAACCGTTTTGGCTTAAAAATATGGATTTTTTTATTAAAAGCGAAAATACGCTTGCCGAAAATATGCTCGCCAAAATTTAAATACTCTACTATATAATATTATTAGAAAAACTTAAGACTCCACAACTATTAAAGTTGCCACGAAGGAAAATATGTTTTCCTGTGGCTTTTTTTATTGCGAAAACCACGAGAGACGAGCCACCAACGCAAGGGCACATACTAGTACATTGGAGATAGCAAACAGCTTCTACAATACATACTACTACAACAACATAGATTGAAGAGGGCTTATAGCTTGTTCTACACAATTTTCGCCATGTCATGCTGATATTGCGACACCGCCGTCGACAAGGTAATTTGGAGAAGTACGTCGCTGCGAATTTAATGAACATGTAAGTGCCCGAGCAGATGGAATATTCCTGCAGTGCTACTGCGCATGTGCTACTTCTGCACAACGCAGCAAAATCCCGGGTAATGCGACGACAACATGGAAGCGAGCACAGAAGTGCCATTGACGAACGAATGAGCACGAGGCGCTAAGAAGAACGGTGAAAACTACAGAGACGACAATAATATAAAAGGAGTATGGAATACTTGTAGAAAATGCGACAGTGCACAAACTTACACACAATTCGGATGCTGTTGGGTACTAACAAACCAGGTAAATAAGAAAACGCAGCACATGCACTTGTATGACAAGCAGCAATGCGTCGCCGCCCAACGTAAAGCAAAATCGCAATGACCAATGCAGGTGTGGCGACACAGAAACATACACACACACACACACTTGCCGCATTAGTTGGCCGTGAGGTGTTGCTAAAGGGGCGCGGCTCTGCAGTGAAATTGTGAAATTCCCTTGGTCAAAAGGACACTCGACATCGATCGCAAACACACACACACACATGCAGAAAATGCCAGTAACTGCGGCGGCAAGCGGTAAAATGGTGAGAAATTGCAAAATGACAAAATTAAGTTGCTTAGCTGTATGGGATTACGAGCAGCTTTGCGCTCATTCGTCATTACATGCTCTTTGCATGGCACAGCCCAGCTTCGTAATACAACAAGTAAACATTTTATGATTGCACTTGTGAATAAGCTGGTGATTTTCCTCGACGTTTTCAACGCATTTTCTATGGGCCACTCACTCTACATTCCACACTTCTTGCCACGTTCTATGAGCTACCCTGTGCGCTCGCCTTGTTTGTTTGCTCGCTACACTTTTTATGTATATGTGTGTGTGTGTATTTATATACTATATAGATATGTGTGAGATATAACGTTAAGTTAAATTACCAGACATTTAGTCAACTTGACAAACAATAAACACAACACAAAATATAAGGGAGAAAACAAGAGGGGTAGGCAGGCAGACAGGCAAGCAAAGGTATGCCGAGCATGCGGCCGAGCATAGCAATGGAGTGATATTTTATTTTATGATTAAAATTCTTATTAATATGCTATTCTTAACTTGGCCGTACGCCATACGAAACATTTGTGCACACACGCAGTACACACACAAATATATAAAAATGTGTTCGATGCAAGCAAAGGTGCTGTGCTACGGCGTACCTCTTTCCAATGGCAAGCAAAATAGCAAAACAACAACAACTACGCAGTAATGAATTGCCGGTGGACCGAAACAACGACGACGACGACGCCATAAGAGTGTGGTGGTGGCAAACGCCTTGCCCTAAGGCCCGCTACCAACGTAGTGGCGCGCTCACTATATTGGCGTGTTGTGTATGGCAAAAGCCGGCAGCCAAGTGTGAATTTTAGCATTTCGCACTACGTACACTACGTGCATACACATCATTAGAGATTTGTTTTATTTGAGTTTCTCAGTAATTTGTCCTTTTTCTCTTTCTTTGCTGTAGTTTTATCATATTTTATTTTTTCCTATATCTACGTATATATTTTCGGATTAATTATTTTTTGTCAGTTTGCTTTCGCCTATATTCCTCTTTTCATGTTTTATGTTCCAAATAATTTAGAAAAGCGCGTGCCGTTTGTTACCTCCTCCGCAATTAATTTGCACACGCTATCTTTCATTAGAATCCTTATTTATGCACTAAGAAGCCATAAGCATGCGTTGCTTTTTTTTTTTTTTTTTTGTTTTTTTGGTGAAATGGAAAAATATTGTATTTGTTAATATTGTGTACATATGTATATAGATGGTTGACGGATAAATTGGAGCAACAATTGAGCAAATGTGCCTTGATTTTGGGTTAATAATGTGATTCCATATTTTATGAATTTATTGGTGATGCCATAATAATGTGAAACTGTGAGTATTTAATGGAAACATATGCGCATATTTCCACCATATTATTTTTGTAATTATTTGAGATTATTATATTTTTGTTTGTTTTCATTTATATTAAACATTAAATTAATTTTAATAAGTAATGATTTAAAATCAATTGGAGCACACATTTTTGTTTTAATTATTATTTCTATAAAATTTTCATTAATTTTAATTGTTTATTATTCATAAATTTCGTTTATTTTAACTTCAACAACCTAATACTTACTTTTATTTATTTATTTTCTTTTTTTTGAACTTATTTAAATGAACTAAACCTAATTTTTATTTATTTCTTGCATTTTTAAATTTTCTTTATTTATTTTTCTTGCATTTTTAATATTTTTTTTATTTTTTTTCTTTTTTTGGCATTGATTTAAATAAACTAAATTTATAATGCTAAACTATTTTTGTTTCGATTTTTTCAAGTAGCTTTCAGTTGATTTATTAGAAATGTTTTTGTTTTATTTAGTTTTAATTGGGCTTCCTTATTCTTTTCAGCAAATTCTATTGAATTCAGTTTTATTTATTACTTTATTTATATATATTTAATTTTATTTTATTATATTAGTTGTTCATATTTTGTTTTACATTATAAATATATTATCTTTTGATTTTTTATCTATTCTCTTCGTTTATTTTCTTTTCATGTTATTTTTATGTATTTTTTTTTAATTTTATTTTTTATTGTTTTTCTTATTTATGATTATTGTTAAAATAATTTTTTTTATTGATTTTTATTTACTTAATTTTATTTTTATTGGTACTGTTTTTAATTTTAATTTTATAATGTTTTTATTTTTTTTTATTGTTTTTAGTTTTAAACATTTTAATAATTTTTTTTATTTATTTATATTTTTTAATTCTTTTTTTTTACTTTTCATTTTTATTTTTTTTTATTTCTTTACTTTTTATTTTTTTTTTATTTCTTTACTTTTTATTTTTTTTTATTTTTTTTATTTCTTTACTTTTTATTTTTTTTTATTTCTTTACTTTTTATTTTTTTTATTAGTTTTTTTAAATTATTTTTGAACATATTTTTCTATTTTTTTGAATTTATTATTATTTTTTATCATTTATTATTATGTTTTATTATACAAGTATTTATTCTTACTTGCTATTCATTTGGTGTAATAAATATTTTTTCATGCATTTATCGTATTTGCTTTCATCACTTACCGTCAGCATCGACTTCATTTATCATGTCTTGCAGTTCGGCTTCTGTTGGATTTTGTCCCAGTGATCGCATCACTGTGCCCAATTCTTTTGTCGTGATGGTGCCATCACCATCTTTATCGAAGAGCGAGAATGCCTCTTTGAATTCAGCGATTTGTTCTTCTGTAAGTTGGTCAGCCTGGAATATGAAAGGAAAAATAATGATTAGCAAAAGAAATAATTTAAGATGCTAATAAAAAATATTTTAATTAAATGTTTTGAAAAAAAATGGTATTTTGAAGAGAGTAAACTACTAGGTAAGGATAAAATAATTTAAGGCAGATTACTAGTTTGCGAAAACGACGGCAGACATCCTTAAAATATATATTTCGATGTACATATTTATTTTACCGAAACCCCCAGTAATTATAAAGGCGAAAACCCCTAACAAACAAATATTGAAAAATACACTACCAACAACAATTTAAATTTAAGAGCATTTCCACTAATATAAAAAACAAACACAGCAAAGCAATACAACCCTATTAAAAAAAATGTGTTCTCACTTTAAATCACAGATTAGCTTTATATACACCTAACCTATACTATAACCTACAAATCACATTTCCGCATACATGACCTGAATTAGAAATAATAAGAATAGAAAACGTGCTAAGTTTCACATACAAAAATATGATTTAAGCTAAAACATGTGATTACACAGCACAGCCTCTTACTATATATAAGGTATATTTAATCCAGGACTAGAAAAGCTGACGACATAAGCGTGTTGTTTAAAAAACAGATGTAGCTCTCTAACGTCAGCAGGGGCTATGCAGCATAGCAAAATAGAGGTCAGAAACTTAATTTACATAACATAAACTACAAATTCTGGAAAACAATGCTGATAAGCGTTAAGGAGCGTACTTGAGAAGTGACGAATTTCTTTAATCATTAAAAACAATCGCATGACTGACGCAGCAGTTCAATTTTATTTATTTTATTTTTATTGTTAGCAGATAATGATTGTACCACTTGGTTTGGTGTATAAATTGATCATATTAAAACCACAAATACAAAAACTCACCATTTTGTATGAAATAAAAAAATATAAATTAAAGTATTCCCACACTCAATAATATGTTTTCAAAATATAGAATTGTTGATTATTTTTTAGCGTTTTTTTTAATGATTTTTAATCAAAATTATTATTATTTGTACTGTTTTGCTGAACTGCGGTTGAAACGGTATAAAAATGCCGCAATTAAATATATGTAAGCAAAGCAATTATGCTATATCTAAAGACAGCAATGGCAAATTGAGACTGATAATGTCAGTTGAAATTGCTTTAAGATTGCTGCACTCTACAACACATATGCAATAAGTTCAAGGCAACAAATTGTTATCTTTGAAGCACAATGTTTATTTTAATTTGCAATAAATTATTTATGTATTATTCCCGTTTTTTATTTGCTTGGCGCAATTGTAATAAGCTTCCTTCTATTTTGTCGCTCTTTTACAATACAAAAACTTTTGTTTTCAAATTTGCACTTATATTTGTTTGCCGCTTTTCACTAATTTTTTTTTACTGCCGACTGACAACTATGAAAAACTTTAGAAATTGTCAAATTGTATGTTTGCCTCAGAGTGAACTGTGTTTGCCGCTTGAATAAGAAGAATAAATGTTGCATATGCAAAAGGAATGCGTGGAAAACTACACAGAAATAGGCGGCACATAAAATTTTAAGCTTTATAATAAAATAATTGTTGACTTCTTGTACAAAAATTGATTTTATCACACTGCGAATTAGATATGCAGACTCGTACTTGCCAGCAACCAATTTAGTGCGCTGAGTAATGTCAAACGTAAGCAAGCAGCACGTCAAAAGTGTAAATAAATGCAGGTAAAAAAATATAATAAATAAATAAGAAAACAAAATAGCGTAAAAAATGACAGCAGACGAATAAATAAAACTTAAATACGAAAACATTAAATATAACTTGAAACAGATATGTATCATTTGCTAAACTATATATGTATGTATGTATATGCGCAAAGACAGTGTTGGATTTCCGCTTAATGCCTTTTAAAGCAACAACTCGAAATGGCGACTGACGTCAGCGGATGAACCAACCGCTGTGGAGTTATGCATACAAATAGGAAACATACATATGTATTAACAACACACATATTGTATATTTATGCATATATATACATATACATATATGCATAGGTATTTAAAACGAGCAGAGTATGGTATGAGCAGTTTTGCATACCAACGAAATAACTTTGGTACATTCGAGTATGTATGTACAATATATAAAAGTAAAAAAAAATTGAATTTCGAAATCGCGTGGGAAATACGAACGTTGGTATAATTTACTAAAAGTCTTTAAAAATCTAAACTATTCATCTAACTATATATGTACATAGTATGTACAAGAATATAAAAATCGATTTTGTCATCGCTAAAAGTATTTACTGGAAATAATAGTTCGAATTTTGAATTATTTGAATTATTAATAGCTAAATAATCGTACACAAGGTAAATAGGCTGGCATTTGGTTGAAAACTAAGAAAATACTGCAATTCTGGCTAATGTTAAGAATACGTGTACGTAGAATTAATATGTTTACAAAATGTATCTATTCGAAGAAAATTTGAATTTCCATTGGAAATTGGCGTAAATTGGAACTAATAACAATAATATGGCGTTTATACTTCAGCAAATAAATTTGTTTCTTACTTAAAAGTTTTTTACAAATTGGTAGGCAAAGCGGTAAATTTATTAAAATTGTAGGTGTGAGCACAATAATTATTTTCATAAAATATAGAAATTTAAAAACAAATATTTGCAAAGTAGCTTAACCGACAATATTTTTAAAAATAGTGTATGAGCTCACTAATTCTTTACTTAAAATATAGGATATCTAAGAAAAAAAAAACGCAAAACTGTTGTATAGACTTCTAACCTAAAACTTAATCAACAACTTTTTGTTTGTGATAAACCACGCTGGGTAAATTTTGCACATTAGTAAATTATTTTATCTTAAAGTATACACTCGAAAATTGGTATATAAAAAGCTTATTTATTATATTATATACATATATATATACATTTGCGCATATGTATGTATGTATAAACACACGCGCTAGTTTCTTAAATGTTGTCAAACAAGTAAATCTACAAAAAGCGCCAAATAAACTAGATAACAACAAAAAGCGACCGGCAAAAATAAATGGTGCTGACTTCGCTGGCGCAAGTGATCGCGACATCGGAAACCGACATTCATTCATGACTCATAAATATGTATGCATGTATATATATGTATGTATGTAGGTAATTTATAAGAAGCATGGGTTAGTTCATAAAGCATACAAAAAAAACGTACATATGTATGTAAATGTGGGTATGTAAGTTTATATTATATGGATAAGACTATTTATTCATCAATTTTTTAGCATTGTGTGTTTATGTTATGCATTATTTGACAAACTTTTGTTTTAAAATGCATTTCAAAAAATATTTAAAAAACAGAACATATTAAAAAAAAAAAAAAAAATTTACAATGATATATAAAAAAAAGAAATTACAAAACCAATATTAAATAAAAAAAAAATATAAAATAAAAATATATAAAATAAAAAAATATAAAATAAAAAAATATTAAATAAAAAAATATAAAATAAAATATATAAAATAAGTATCTTAAAACGTAAAAGTATCTTAAAAACGAAAATTGCAATGCAACTGCCTTAATTATGTGCGTACAAAAAAATGTATGTGTATGTATTTAGAAAATACCTAATATACTTGTGGTTCAAATAACGCAGCTGCTTTTTTTACAACAACGCGATTATAAGCAGCAGCTGATTCTTGGTTGCACAATGCATCTCACAAACATACATATGTATGTATGCACATACAGATAAACATACTCGTACGTACATGTAAGTATAAATAAAGACGGCAGACGACATGGCAACACGTAAAATAACTTTGAGGCGGCTGCTTGTTGTGGCCGAAATTAGTTGATCTCCTCCGACAGTATAACGAAATTATAATTTATGAATATATAAAGTAATACATAATACTTTCATGTTTCCATTGATAACGATTTACTGCCACAAATGGCCAAAATAAATATAAAGCTTTTAAAAATGTGTTCAATAATAAGATAACAGATAACGAGCTTATCAGTTAAAAGCTGCCAAAAAAAAAATGGAGAAAAACACTAGCATAATTCGATACCAATTAAAGCATGTACGAGTACATACATATGTATGTACATATGTCCCATCAGCAAATAGCTGTCCTCTGATTTCGATTAGGGGCTTTTTACCAATTTTCCAATCATTGTGCGTGTTTAGGTAAATGCAGGTGGAATTTATAACTTAGGAGTTAATAATTAATTACTGCAATGCTATAAGCGTTTTTCACAAATTTTTTTTTGTTTAATCTAACCTTTCTAACTTGTTTTAAATCGAATTGTAAGTAATTCCTACAGCAATTATATGCTTAATTACCAACAGATAGAACTAATTGCAGCTTGCGAGAAATAAATAGGTTAAAGCACACGCAAACTACTTACAACTATTTATTCAGTTAAAATGTGAATCGTCACGGCAACGAAGTACTAAGTAATCAGCTGGTGGCAGGTTACATACGCGTTCACCATAAATACACACACGTTCGTACGAGCATATGTATGTACATATATGGGTTTTTGACCCCACACCTTACTGTGGGTGTTTTGGCCACGTTCGGTTCCATGCGCAAATACAGTGAGGAATTTAGACAGGTTTATTACATTACAAACCAAATTTCTAGTAATAATATAAATACATACGTATGTATATCCTTAATTTAACATTGGGCATATTTCAAGAAAATTCGAAATAAACGTAAGAAAACAATAAATGTGGCGATTTCTTAATTATTAATAGCTAAATAATCGTACACAAGGTAAATAGGCTGGCCTTTGGTTGAAATCTATTATATCTACATAAGTAAATTGTAATTCTGGCTAATTTTAAAAACACGTGTACGTTGAATTAATATATTTACAAAAATTACGTATTAAAAAAAAATTTGGATTGCCATTGGAAATTGGCGTAAATTGGAACAAATAACAATAATATGGCGTTTAAACTTAGGACAATAAATTTGTTTCTTACTTAATTTTACATTTTATAAAATATGATGAAATAATAATGAAGTGTTAAGTAAGCTAATTTAAGTAAGTTAAATAATATGTTTAAATACAATAATAATTAACTCAAGTAATTATGCATGTATTAATAATAGAAATTTTGGTTTCTCTAATAATTTATTTTTTAAGTAGTTGGCAAATCAATGTGTTGTACAAACAAATACAACTCAGAACAGAGTACGCCCCATATAATTTATTTTCACACAAACGGTTGCAAATATGCGATTACATTTTCTATGAACTAAGAAGATTAAAAAGTCAAGATACATACATACTATGTACATACTTATGCATACATATTCCATATAGTAATTTTATAACTTTCAGACGTAAAACGTTAAGATCCAGCACAAAGCGACTATAAAACATAAAATTATTATCAAGAGCAAACAGCACAAAAACTTTAAATATTTATGTACATACATATGTAAGTATATACACTCCTTATATATTGTATATAAAAACAGTTTTTTGGGTTTTTCTACCTTGCTTATCGCTTTGAATTTGCCAACGCTAATTTTGTAGCATTCTTATCAAAAGTCGTGATCGCTTTACCTTTTGTTCATATGTATATATATATATATATATTTCTCCCACATTTGTCCTGTTTCACATTTTGAACTTAACCGTCGTTCGCCCATATCTGTTGACCCCCTTGCTTTGCTACAACGCTTCTGGCATTTTGCAGTCGTTTCCTTTTCTACTTAATATTTCAGCAGTGAAAACAAACGACAAATCAACTACCCCTGCCCGCTGACAGTTTTGCGAACAATATAACACCCCTCCGATAACTGCTAACATTTCAGAAACCCCTCTCCTCTTTCTATTCGCTCTCTCCTAATTTAGCCGATGATGAATAGCAACTACCTTGTGTAGTACAACAACAACAGAAGATGTGCAATGAATTTGCTCGCCGGTACCAGTTGTCGACATAAAGCGAAAAACACTGAAATAGCCGCAGACGGCGATAACCGCAATGCGGCAAAATAGCGGTACAGAACGGTTCAAAAACGAATGAGGCGAATATAAAAGAGACGAAAGTAAAGAACATGCGCATGGTTGGAAAACAAAAAACGTTTGGCGGGTGTAAAAGCAGTTTACATACATATGTACATACGCTGCTACTAGCAAATAGCAACAAACTTAGTCAAAGAAAACAGAATGTATACACAAAAGGCAATACGATAGAAAAATTAGCCCCTGTTGCATGAACACAATACAACAACGTTCTAAATCAGCCAGTTGGCAAGAAATTGGAAGCATTGCAAAAGTGCAAAAGCCGAAAAATGCTACAGGCAATGTAAAAGTAGCGAACAAACGGAAACAACGAAATTCGACTGACAGTCAAATCTGTGTGAAACGGTTCAGCGATGAGCGCGGGAGCATTTGAGAGTAAGCACCAAAAGGGGTATGCATAACTCGCCGCAGCAAAAAGAGCGACGGCGAGATACCATTGTGATGAGTGTTTTTTTTTTAAACAAGATAAATGCTAAAAGCCTAGTGCGTTAATAAAGGTGGTAAATAGGAATTACTGGTCCGGTAGCCTATTTATTTTTTGGTTCGCTCTTTTTTTTAACAACGCAAAGCATGGTAACAAAAAATATTTTGACAATTTGCTAAAAGTAACAGGAAAAACGTGCTGCAAAAATCTAACACTGAATTCTTAGCATTTTACCTTCGAAAATACTCCAATTATAAATATTTTTATTAAATGTTATTGTCGCTTACAATTTTGGTGATTCCGGAATAATACATTTTATTAATATCGATTATTTGCTGTTAGAGTAATCGATATTTTGTTGATATATTAATACCAAGCAATTTTCTAAAGATTAACAATTAAATTTAATAGTAATTGAAATGAGAGCTTCTCGGAAATTATAAATAAAACTCTAAATTATATGTACTTTATATATGACTACACTAAATAACGATATGTGCACAAACTTATATATGTATGTATTATTAATATTATCAGATTATCTTTCAGTCAAGTATTTACTTATTCGCACTCGACTCTTCAGGGTGTGAACGTGTACTTAATTTAATTTTTTTTAATGACGCTGCTGGCTGTTTTCACACTGCCAAAAATTAATTGTTAAAGCGAATGACACATTAAATTTTCTTCGCAATGCGCTACTGTCGCGACTTTTTGTTAAAGGCCAATAATAAGTAAACACAAAGATCACATGGCAGGCAAAAACAACAAAAAATTTAACCAACTGCTAGCTCACTACAAGAAAAGTAAATATGTACATATGTAAGCATGTATAATTTTTCAAAAGCATTAAAAGAAAATAATGTGTAAACAATGTCTATTTGAAAACAATAACCAAAAATTATAATAATAATTTATAAATGATGAGATAATTTATGGCGAAATGCGAGCATTAATAACGAAAATTTGTAAAGAGAGGAAGAAACGAATCATTTGTGAAAAGAAATGTAGTTGAATAAGAATTTAAAGCTGAAATAAATATGTTGAAAGTACATGAATAATTAAACTTGTACGAATAATGAGCGCATTTTGCGGTAAATAAGAGAAAATAACACTCATGAAAAAATAAAAAGTAACGTTTTGATGATTAAAATGCTATTTCATTGGAAAATTAGAAAATGTTGCGAAGTTTTAGAAAATGTTGCGAAGTTAAATACTTTATACATATGTGTAGTAAGTACTTAATAGCCTAAACTGATAACTCTATTAAAATCTAATATATCTGATAGAAAAAAATTAATAATAAATAACATGTATAAAATATATATTTACCATTGCTGTTGTGTTGTTTTTGTTAGTTGGTTAAAGGTGAAAATTTAAAAATTAACTATCTGCGCCCTTTGTTGCTTGCTGCTGTAATTGTCGCTGTCACCGCTGTGATGCTATTACTTCTATGGAGTAGTTTCTAAGGGTTAACCAGCCTGGAAAATCAAAACCAATACAAATTGGAGGATCATACTTTTTTTACTTTTTAGAGTTGTTTTCGTTTTTTCTTATATTAATTTCAAACATTATGTAGCTTTAAAATACGTATGCATGTTTTAATATATACTTTTCTTATTTTAGTATTATAGCAACATATTTCCGCGTTACAAAAAAAACCGTTTACAATTTTCCAATTACTCTTTTTCTACAATTTTTAACAGAAAAACATTTACGTTAGCAAAAATCGTTAAAAGAATAAATATAATACACTTGATTAACGTATTTTTAAATAAATACGTAAATTTTTGTCTATACGAATCAGAGGTGCATATGTGTTCCGGAAGCAAAGTTGGGACACTTTAAAATATCAGTTAGTTGGTATATGGGCGTTTGCCAAACATCAAAAGCTACTTATACTCATCGTAATAACGTTGCGGGCGCATACTTTGCGTTAACTCAAACCCTCCACATAA